AGCGAAATGAAAAATGACTCCGACGAGCGTTAATGACGTATTGAATATTATATTTTAATAAGTACGCTTTCGAGTTCTCAGTAATATAAATTTTTAGACGAGATATCTCAAGTCGAGATTAATTAGGAAAATATTATATACCTGTCCATGGAGGAGAGAAGCAACAGTAAGGTACCATGCAGTGAAAGTTGTCATGACAAGACCTAGAAATGACCAAATTCTATAGTTGTGGAATGATGGGATGAAGACTGTAGTGGCACAACAGGCTCCAAATATATATGTCCAAGTTCTCTTATCAAGATTGTCATTTATATAGTAGATGTTACTGCAACACAAAAATGAACAAAAAAAATAATAATTGTGTATATATTTTTAAAAAGGGAAAAGTAATAAGGGGATCCACCTTGCACATGCAATTAACTGAATCACAGATCCAAAGAGAAGAAAAGTGCAGTTGAAAAAGAGGCCAATGTTTCTCCAATGTTTTCCTAGCAGCCCATCAAGAACTTCAAACCACTGCATCAGAATGAAATTAAACAGAAATAATTAAAAGACCTTAAGAAAATTGCAATAACTTAGAAGTCAATATAGATTGGTGTACATAGAGGTGTCCATACCCCTCACGTGTGGTGGGGTCCCCTCTATGTACATATATTATGTACACCAAGAATATTTCTTCAATATATCGATATATAACTTCTTGAAAATGAAACAAAGACGAAATATAAATAGATAGGAATGATATCGAATATGCATAAACAAAAGTATAAGTGAGTAGAAACGGTGGCTGTCTAAATTACAAGGTTTCCAAAATCACAATAATTCAAAAATTAATAATAGATATATTTATCGAAATAGGAATCAAGAGACGTAATGACGTCGAATGAAAAGAAAAATGTACATACCTGGATTACATGGTTTCTAAAATCCACTTTCTCTCTTTCTTTCCTGGTTCTGTATTCAACATAAAGAACACTAATAAGATAAGCAGTCCAGCTCCCCATCAAACCATAGAACAGTTGGAAAACAATTCCAGACACCATTCCCAGTTGTGAGAATGAGTAAGGCAGTGTGAGAAGCACTTGTGCAACCTACAACATAAAAAAAAAAAATACTTATTCTCAAGTAATTGTTCTAACGGCATGTTTGAACGAGCTTAAAAGTTACTTTCCTAGAACGTAAAGTAAACATTGTTAGTAAAACAAGTACGATGGAAGATCATGTTGATAAATAAGTAACTTATAAGTTAAAAAGTTGCCTGATTAGAAGCACAGCTAAACCATGCATCATAGACAGAACCTCCATGCCAAAACAGACTGGAAAACTTGCTTTTAATGGAGTCTGATTTGGGTTCTTCTCTTTCCATCTCTACATAGTTTCCTGCAACTACAGTTTCAACCTTTTCTGAGGCCATTTTCTGAATGTATGCAATGAAGGGTTTCTAGGGAGTTATATATAAATAGATGAACTGATCAAGATTTCTATCTCTTCTTTATCAGTATTTCTTGAACAATGATTGAGTTACCCTTGAAGGGACCTCTAGTTAGGTCAGCATTTGTATGTGATTGAGCAATAAATATCTGTGGAAAATAAGATTTTAAATGAATATACTTTTCTTTAATAACTTAATTTTTTGGATGAAGTTAACAAAATAATCTAATAGATAAAGACTCAACATCCAAATCTCGCTACAACTCATTTATGAATAAAACACGCCCTAGTGAAATTAGGGAAAATATTGTACAAAACGGTATTCATATTTGTGAAAAATATCTTTTTCAAATTTTGAAAATGTTTTAGTGAAGTAATACGGCGACTTTCATTACGTTCAATTTCTTCACCAAAACGGACAAAAAGCGAGAAATAGTACTCCTTAAATTGTCAAATTTTAACTAATAAACAGTGTATAAACATAACTAATGACCACATATACACTGACAATACTTACTTTTTAAAATGAAAATTTAACTTTTTTTCTAAAAAAAATAACTTTTAAGCGAAATTCAACATCCCCAAGAAAAATCTTTCACATGAACACTAGTTATAGAGTAAGGGTAATGGGCCTAGAGTAGCATGATCGCACGAGCGGGTGTCCCACCAATATCCCTTCCTTTTTAAAGAATCCCATATTATAGACTGACTGATCATGAACACAACTATAGGAAAGTATAAAAGGGGGAAATTTTGCTTATTGAAACGATTATAATCAAAGATGGAGGGAATCATTACTTTGGACTAGACTTAAGTGCTTAACATCATTAATCCCACACGTGTGCCAACTGGCTTCACAAAAGATATCTAAATCCAATATCTTTACCATTTTTTCTCCTACTTTGGGCTCTCTCTCTCTCTCCCTCGCTCTCTCTCTCTAAATATACTTACATACCTACATATGACGATCAATAAATTCTCTAAAAGAAAGAGATTTTGAGTTATAACATAAACTGACATCTTTTTTGAGTCGATACGTAAGTATAAAAGATCTAAAAGTCGAAATAGAAGCTTGTTAAGAAGTATCGAAGGAACGACTTAAAATGAAGCTCCAATAATACAAGCACCGGTCCAGCGGCTAAAAAAGCTCCAATTTAGTGGGCTCATTTACATTTTTTATTTATTTTTTTACTTATTAACTTGTCTAAAAGAGTTTTTAGTCAAATTCTGATTTGGCTCTTGAGAAGGACAAACAAACAGTGTTTGGACTACAAATCAAACGTTAAAGATTTAGTTTCATAACTGAAGTTAGTGGTAGGGTTATCATAGATGAGTATGTATTTTTCTTTTACTTTTTCTCTCAAATGGAGTTGTTTCAATCATGATGAAGGGACAGAATCTAGATTATTACACATTACATGTGATTTTTTATTTTTATTTTTATTTTTTGCAGCAAAATTGTAAACTTATATGTAAAAATGAAAAAAAAAATGTGTTTCTTCAAATTTGGACTTACATACCAATACGAATATAGTTTTTCGATAGTCCTACCATGTATTCAATATAGTAATCTTCATTCTTCAGGTATATATATTTGAAAAATATTTCCTTGGGTTGGCCCACAGGCTTGAAGAGCTAGGCCCAACAAGTATAGTGGAGACTGGTGGGTCTGAGGTACCACTAGATTTGGAGAGCCAAGCTAGATATAACCTTTTTCTGACATAGACCAAGGATTAATAGCAAAAAATTCGCTAAAAAGGTTTTCACATGCGATTTATCTTCTATCTATTGGAAATCGCAGCAAATCCCTTTGTTTGAAATCTTTTATGCGAAAAACCCTCTCTGCCGTCAAGATTCGTCAGATATACCATTAAAATGGTAAAAAATTCCAAAATTAAAAAGGAATCAATGCAATTTCAGTACCCAATTTTTTTATTTATTATCTATAATCCAAAATCTTTAAAGCTTATTTTTTTCACCCCACCCCATTTCAGCTCCTTCCTTAAGAACAGAGGTGGTCATCAATCCTTTTAATTTTGTAAAGTTCTTATATTTTTTTTGTACATTGTGCAATAAGAGGTTTTATTTAGACTGCATATCAGCAGCTAACGACATTCATTGTAAGACGTGTGAAGCTAGCTAAACCCATTTTAGCCACCAACTATGGAGACTCATAACGCTACCTTCCGGCTAACAAGGCCATTGGACCCAATCACCACCACCCTTGTCGCACTCCGTCCTACAACTTCCATCCCACTGCCAGCATCAAATCCACTGAAAACAACCACAATGTCAAGCCAAAACAGTGAATTGGTAAACACTATTCTCACCTGCAACCCCACTTTTGACGACACCCATGGTCGCGCACCACCACCTATGGTTTGCCCTCATCTAGACCACCCTAAACATGGCCTAACATTAACCCAAAAAGCCTCCATTCAATCTGTTATTATTTAGAATTTTTCGACAGTTGCAACTCATTTTTTGTTAAACGTGTATACTTCAATCCATGCCTCGCAAATCATCCAATCTCCAAATTGGCATCAATTGAATCAACATCAAGTCCAAACAACCATGGGTATGAATTTAATTAAGCCAATTATCCCCCCCCCCCCCCCCCCCCCCCCCCCCCCCCCCCCCCCCCCCCCCCCCCCCCCCCCCCCCCCCCCCCCCCCCCCCCCCCCCCCCTCCCCCCCCC